AGTTTGCCAGCAGCAGGCATGAATCAAAGGAAATACTAAATTCTACAGGGCATTTTCCAGATAACAGGAAAATGATTCCAGATGAAAGACTGGGGATGAAGGAAGGAATAAATGGCAATTAAAAGGATAAATATCTACTTAAATTTAAATCAATGCTATATAAAACAATAATATTATTTTGTTAATTCATATTGACAAATAACATGAGTCAAGAGAGCGGGAGTAAAAGTATTTAAAGTGCTGGCATTATCTGGGGAGTGTGTAAAAGTATAAATTTATATCAGCCTTTGATAAGTCAAGTCAAGACTGTGTGCTATAATTGCCAGATAACCATTAAGGAAAAGTAAAAGAGTGAAAACTTCTAAGCTAATAGAAGGGCAAAAATAAGAAAATAATCTTAAAGAAGAGAAAACTAACATAGATCAGATAGGACATGGAGAAGGAACTTGGTACAATAGTTATATCTATTAATATCAGTAAGTACATTAAATGGTTTACATGAATCAATTAAAAGACAAAGATTTTCAGACTGGAACAAAACCCAACCATATGATGTTTACAAAAGACATCTGAAATATAAAGATACATAAAGACTGAAAGTAAAAGTATAGAGAAAAGTATAACATAAAAACACTAATCAAAAGAAGGCCATTATAGTTAAATTAATAACAAAATAGACTTTAAAGCAAAAAGCATTACAACACATAAGAGAGTCACTTCAGGGCCAGCCCAGTGGCATAGTGGTTAAGTTCTCATGCTCCACTCCAGTGGCTCGAGGTTCGCAGGTTTGGATCCTGGGCATGGACCTACACACAGCTCATCAAACCACGTGTGGCAGCGTGACACATACAAAATAGAGGAAGATGGGCACGAATGTTAACTCATGGCTAATCTTCCTCAGCAAAAAGAGGAGGATTGGCAACAGATGTTAGCTCAGAGCCAATCTTCCTCACCAAAAAAAAAGAGTGTCACTTCATGATATTTTAAAATTTGTGTGCACTTACTATCTTGACCTCAAAATAAATAAAAAAATTTGACAGAACTACAAGGAGAAATAAACAAATAAGTGTTGATGAATAAACATTTCAGTATTAACATTCCTATCTCTGTAACTGTGGAAACAAAGTGTTGAAAGAAAAAAACCCACCAACCTAAAATTCTACATCCAGAGAAATTATCTGTCAAAAGTGAAGGAGAAGTGAAATAAAGATATTCTCAGACAAACAAAAACTGATGGAATTCAGCTCCAGCAAACCTTCCCTTCAAGAAATGTTAAAAGATTTTCTCCAAGCAGAACAAAAATGATATAGGTCAGCAACTCATATCTACATAAAGACCATTAAAAATGGAATAAGTGAAAGTAAAATGAAATCTTTTCTTTTTCTTAATTGATGTAAAAGATAACAGTTTGTCTAAAGTAATAATAGTAACAATGTATTGAGTGATTACAGCTTATTGATAAGTGAAATGAATAACGAATACTCTAATACGGTACCTGCACTACACATAAGTGAAGCAGAAGAGTGTTATTTGAAAGTGATCCTAGTTAAAAATGCACATTGTAAACTTAAGAGAAATCACTAAACATTTTTTAAAAAGAAATATAATTGATACATTAAGAGAGAAGACAAGTGGAATCATGCAAAATACTCAATTAAAAATTGAGAAGTCAAAAAAGAAGTTTCTGGCAACAAATAGAAAAATTTATAAACATGGTTGATATTAATCCAAATATACCAAGAATCATTTTAAATGTGAATGATTTAAGTTAAAGATTGAAATTTCCAGAGTGGATTAAAAAAAACCCAGCTATATGTTGCGTATAAGATGCCCACTAAAGACTGAGAGGTTAACAGTAAAGCAATGGAGAAAGATATACCATACTACACAAGTCAAATGAAAGCTGGACAAAAAACGAAAGCTGCGGTAGCTATATAATTTCAGACAAAGCAGACTTCAGAACAAGGAAAATTATCAGAGATAAAAAGGAGCACTACATAATGATAAAGGGATCAATTCTGAAAAAAATATATAATTATCCTAAACATGCATGCACCTAACAAAAGTGTCAAAATATATGAGGCAAAAACAGAACTGAAAGGAGAAACAGACAAATCCATGATTAGGGCTGCAGACTTCAACATCTCCCAGTCAGTAATTGATAGATTAAGCAGGCAGGATATCAATAAGGATTCAGTCAACCTGAACAGCACTATCAATAAACTTGATCCAACTGGCATTGTAGAACATTCCATCTAACATCAGAACACATTTTTTTCAAGCTCACATAGAACATTCACCAAGAGAGTCCTTATTCTGGGCCATAATATACATCTTAACAAATTTAAGGGAATAGAAATCATAAAAGTATGCTCTCAATGGAATTAAACTACAAATCAATAACAGAAAGATAGATGGAAAACCAAAATATTTGGAAATTAACACACTTCTAAATAACATGAGTCAAAGAAGAATTTTCAAAAGAAATGCAAAAATATTTTGAACTAAATGAAAATATACTAAAACTTTTGAGATGTAGGAAAAGCAGTGCTTAGAAGGAAATTTCTAGCTTGAATGCATGTAAAAGAAAAGAAGAAAGATGTGACATCAATAACCTAAGCTTTCTCCTTAGGAAACTAAAGAAAAAAGAGTAATTTAAGCCTAGAACAAGCAGAAGGAAGGAAATAATTAGATAATAAATCAATGAAAGTGAAAACAGGAAAACAATAGAGAAAATCAATGAAACCAAAAGCTGGTTCTTTGAAAAGATAAATAAAATTTATAGATCTCTTGCCAGGGTAACCAAGAAAAAAGAAAGAAGACTCAAATCAACAATATTGGACATGAAAGTCCAGTTATCGCTACTGATCCCATGGACATAAATAACTTATTCCTACAAATTTGATAACTTAGATGAAATGAACTGATTCCTTGAAAGATACAAACTACAAAAACTCACACAAGGAGAAAAAGATAATCTGAACAGCCCTGTATCTATTAAAGACATTGAATTAATAATCAATAACCTTCCAAAGATAAAAATCACCAGGACCAAATTCTATCAAACATTTAAGGATAACCAGTGAGCATTAGGAATCATCAGTGAATTATACCAAACATTTAAGGAAATAATAAGTCCAATTCTTCATAATCTCTTCCATAAAATAGAAGTAGAGAGAACACTTGACTCATTCTGTGAAGCCAGTATTACCCTAATGCAAAAACCAGATAAAAGACATTACAAGAAAAGAAAACTACAGACCAGTATCTCTCATGAACACAGACACAACATCCTCAACAAAATATTAGAAAATTGAATCCAGTGTAAAAAATTATGCACCTAGCAAGTGGAATTTATTCTAGGTGTGTGAGGCTGATTCAACATTTGAAAATCAATTAATATAACCCACCACATTAACAGACTAAAGAAAAAAAATCATATAATCTTATCTCTTGATGTAGACAAAGCATCTAACAGAATCCAACACCCATTCATGATAAAAGTTCTCAAACTAAGATTAGAGGGGAACTTCCTCAATTCGATACAGAATATGTACAAGAAACCTACAACTAACATCATACTTAATGGTGAGACAAAGTGGACACTTCACCTTAATATCCGGAACAAGGATGTCCTTTCTCATTGCTCCTATTGAACATCATACTGGAAGTCCTAGTGAGTGCAATTAAGACAAAAAAGGAAATAAAATGGATACAGATTGGAACGGAGGAAATAAAACTGTCTCTATTTGCAGATGACATGATTGTCTAGGTAGAAAATGCCAAAGCATTGACAAACTCTTGGCTACAAGGTCATAGGATGTAAGGTTAATACACAAAAGTCAATTGCTTTCCTATATATCAGCAATGAACAACTAGAATTTGAAATTTAAAAATACCATTTATAACAGCACTCCCAAAATGCAGAATGTGACTAGAGAATCTAAGTGCATTACAAATGTATGAAACAAACTCACTGAAAAAGACATGAAAATAAGGTGCTGACATAGGTAACTTTGGAAATGAGTGGAGTCTGTAAGACTAAAGACAAAATTTTCTCTATATGTAAATAAATAAATATTTAAAAAATATAAAGGTGTAAATATATATATAAAGATGCATATATAAATGGGTTATTTTACACCCATATATGTCCTGGCTTTGTCAACTGAGAGGGCCTCAAAGCAATGATATCTCAATAGTACAAGTACACCTAGTGCCCACGTCTTGGTTTTCAATACTATTCTCCAACCTAAGGTACTAGGGATCCTTGGAGAAATGGCTGATTCTAGGACTTGGGCAGGAAATATGCAAGATAAGACTAGAGTAGCGCCTGAAAGAGAGTGTTAACACACACACACACACACACACACACACAATGATGGGAGTATGTCAAATTGATATAAGAGCCAACTGAAAGAGTCCCAATGGCCAAAGTTGGAAAATTTAAGCAATGAATAAATATAAAGTATTATTAGATTATAATCCAAAGTATAAAATAAATATTAACGAGTCAATAATGATATAAATAAATACAAATAAATGAAGAAGAGTCAAATATCTGGTACAGAATTCCAAATAAATTTTGTAGATACTTCGCCCTCAAGAAGATGAAACATAACACCTCACTCCTTAAGTGTGGATTGCAAATAGTGACTTTCTTCCAAAGTGTACAGTATGGAAAGGGAGAAATAAAAAAGTAACATTACCATGGAGAAACCTGACAAACACTACCTCATCCAGGTGACCAAAGTTAACATCAACAGTGATAAGTATTACTGATAGTATGTACTCTTTATATGATGTGATGAGAATGGCACTTTGCCTCTATGGTCTTCTTTCCAAAAACACTCAACGCCTGTGTAACCACAAGAAAAAAGTCAAGCAAATCGAAACTGTGAGACATTATACAAAATATCTGACCAGTACTTCTCAAAAGTGTCAAGGGCGTCAAAAACAGGGAAAGTCAGAAACTGTCACAGCCAAGACGAGCCTAAGGAGAAATGACGACTAAATGTAAGATGGTAACCTGGATGAGATCCTGGAACAGAAAAAGGACATTAGGGAAAAACTGAGAAAATCTGAATAAAGTGTGTACTTTGGTAAATAATAATGTATGGTTCACTGTGACAAATGCACCACACTAATGTAAGATGTTAATAATAGGGGATACTAGGTTTGGGGTATATAGAAAATCTGTACTACTTTTGCAATAATTCTGCAAATCTACAACTGTCCTAAAACAAAGGTTTATTTAAAAAAACTCTATAAGCAAATAAAAGGCTAATGAAGAGCCAGGAAAAAAAAAAGCACATAGGTAGATGGGTCTGTTGAAATGGTAAGGCAGGGCTTAACAGGAATTTCCTGGGAGACAACTCCTTCTAAGAAAAAAGTCTCAGCAGACAGGGGATTAACAGGTGAGAACAGCATAGCACCTGGTCACTCAGATTTTTCTCTTGGCTCAATCTCTAGTATCTAAATCCAGTGGAGATGGCTATATGCAAACACACACACAAACCAACAAAAAACTTGGAAAGGGGTGTTTTATAAGAACTTTATAAAATATCAAGGCCCAAGTGACAACTCTGTACTACCCACCTGAGTTAGGGTAGCTCTGATGTGGGTAGAGAAGAATTCTCCACCCCTCTGTTGAGACACTGTATTGCTTTAGTCCATCATGGTCTCCAGCCCACCAGTAGCAATGGGGGCCTTAAGAGGGTGCAGGACCCATGAGAAGAGGCACAGTGTCCTCAGTCATGGTATTACCCAGGGGAGAGTGGCACCCACCTTTCAGCTGTCTGGACTTATTCCTTGGGACAGGTGAGAGCCCCCTCAGCCCTCCCCCAAACGTCTGACGGGGTTCTGGTCCTGCAAGTGCAGGGGACAGGGCAGGAGCCGGCCCAATGCAGTTCACACACTCGATACCTCATCTGATCTTCTCCACAGCCCTGGAAGGCAAGTTTGATCCCCATTTCACAGATGACAAGACTGTCCTTACAGCAATGGGTCTGTAATCACCGCCAGGTTGATTCCTCCAGCTTTGAGTCTCAGAGGTAATCGGAGTTTTATGGATCATTTTACATCCTGACACCAAGAATTTTAAGTCCCTCCACTGCCTTCATAAGCTCACTTAACAGTTATTTTGATTGCTTGGTATATATTGTTTTTCTATTTTTTATCTTTCATTGTTGTTATGACAAAAGTGATCTGTGTTTTTTAGGAGAAATATGTTGAACAAAAAAAGAACAGGAAAAAAAAATCACCCACAGATAACCACTGTTCATCTTTTAGTGGACACGGCTTTTAGAATTTTTTCTGTACATAGATCACTAGCTAAATATCTTGGTAGTTTTACAAAAACGGACTGATGCCGTATATATGGTTCTGCAAACTGTTTTCTTTTTAATTTTACAATGCACCATAAACATTTTGCCATGCAATGGATGAAAATCTGCTACTGAAACATAGAGGGCTGCAGTTGGGTAACAAGAGTGACACCTAAAGTAAAGCATCAGCCTAAGGTTAAAGCACAGGGCCTGGCACCTACTGGCCAGGGCACTACACAAAAGGAATGTCTTCAAAGCCCCTTTGTGGGGCCCTGCAGCCACCCCTGAGTTCCCTTGGACCCCTTGGGTGGAAGGGGTCCTGTAAGCTTTTTTGCATCCACATAAACCCCCCCAATTTCTGTCTGGTTTTCTTCACCTCATCCTCCACCCTAGCCATCTCGTCAAATTCTCTTATCATCTCCTCATTGCTCAAATGCATATCGTGTATGGCCTCCTTATATTCCTTGAGGCACTGAGCCAGCCCCTTGTTGGTTTTTCTTTTGGCTTTCCTGGGTACATCATCCCCAGCTGGGCGCTTTCCTGCAGCCCTTGGTTCGCTGACTGGCTGTCCTTCTTCTTTTGGCTTTCCCTGGCTCTCTGCCTTTCCCTGGCTCTCTGCTTTTCCTTCTTCTTTTGGCTTTGCCTCACTCTCTTGCTTTTCCTTATCCTTTAGTATTTCCTCATCTTCTGTCTTTCCCTTGTGATCTGTCTTTCTCTCCTTTTCTAACTTTTCCTTGTCTTCCAGACTACAAGCTACTTCCGGCTTTCCCGTATCCAGTGGCTGTTCTTTTTTTTCCATCTTTCCTTGGTTCTCAGGCATTTCTTCATTTTCATTGCAGAGTTTTTCCATGTTGAGATTTCCCCTCCTTTTCCTGTCCTGGGGGTGGGGGAAAGAGGAGACCAAGAGGAGACAAGGGAGACTGAGGGTTTGGGGGTGGAATGCAGGTCCTGATAGTGCTTGCATATCGCCCCTTGTCAGGGTTCCCCTGACCTGGCCTGGCCCCCAAGTGTGCCTTCTGCCCACCTTTTTACCCCATCACTCCTCCCAACCGTTTTTCTGGCAGGCCTTGCCATTTTCTCTATGTTTGCTCAGCGTGGCATAGTGTGTGTATAAATGTGTTGGGAGGTGGGCAGTGGGGCCCCAAATTCTGCCCAGCCCATGCCCCCACACTCCCCACCCCTCTGGGTCCCTGTCCAGCAACCGCCCTCCTTCACTGACCTGCGGGAATTCTGGACAGGTTCCTCCTCCTTTTCTAGCCTAGCAGAGTGCTGAGAACAGCAGACGCGCAGACCTGCAAACAGACAGCAGACAGGGGCTGGGCGTTCGGTGGATGCGCAGGGACTCGGGTCCCTTTCCTGAATCTCGGCCCTCCACACCCAAGATTTCCCTCCCCCACCTCCTCCGGCCCTCGCACCCCAGTCGCCATTTATTTTCACGCCTCGAGCGCCAGACCAGGATGTTTTCCAAACTAATTTTGGATCTCTGCGTCCTTCTCTCCCGGAGGCAACTCGCCTTCCCACCCTCGAGGTCAACTTTTTTCTCTACGTACGTTGTGGTGAGGGGGTTTATTTCCACTGTCTCACTGCTGGGGCGCCCCCCAGCTCACCATCTCCGGCTCCAAAATGGACGGAAGGCAGAGCGGAGGTGCGGAGAAAAGGGGCATGGGAACTTGGGGCGTCCGCCTTCCCCACCTCCGCCCATTGGCCGCTTGCTCCCCCTTAGCCATTTTCCCACCGCCATCTCTATCTGCATTCGGGCCAGCTCCCCTCGACCCCGACCCCATCCTCAACATTTTTTCTTCCTGTGCTCGGTCCTCCACCCCCATTCCAGTGTTCCGCAGGCAGCGACGAAGGCCCTTACACTAACCTGAAAGAACCTGGAGCAACAATTAGGAGCTCGCAGACAGCTCCGGGTCGGACGGCGGGGAGGCAGGGCGGGCACCCGGACTGGTGCCCACATCTGCGCCCAGGCGATCACGTGAGCTTCGCGTCACCCGAGCTCATCCCCCACGCCCCGCCCATTAGTCCGCGTCGGCCTGCCACCCATTACTTCTCTAGGGCAGGTTCCCCCTAACCTGTCAGGGCCCTTTTGTCCTTTTCCTCTTCTTGAGAAGCTAGTCAAAGAAAGAATTTTAATAAAAACCATAAAAGCTTTTTTTTTTTAATGGGTTGGGCGATCCGGGGGAGGAGTCTTGACAATATTGATCTTAAATGCCATTGACAAAATGTAGACCCACCCAATGAAATCGTATGAATGTGAACTTTAATACTGTACAAAGAGTACAATGTTGTACTTTAGAAAAAATTAGGAAAACTATTCCCCTCAAAATGAAATTGTCCCTTTTTCCAGAATGCACAAACATACATTTTCTAATGAATTAAATATTTATATCCAAAAATGAAATTATGATTGAAGCAGAATAAAAGAACAATTTTTTTTAAGTGAGAGACTGAATATACAACGGACAATGACCAGACCATATATGACAATAGAGCTGTGACCCACAACCTCTGCAGCGAGTAGTTCAGGAAGCCAAACCACAGCCTCTGCAGCAATCTTCAGGACTCCATCAGTGACTGCCAGCGTCCCTATGTTTGCCCCACCACCAACTAGAGCAAGCTCCCCAAACCAATCACATAAAATGCCCTGCTTCTATTTAGCCTGCCTCCAGCTTCCCCATGCCAAAAACCTGCAATCAGAGAATACCTGAAGTCTTCCCTCTTTCACTCTAAAGCTTTCTGGTTCCCCTGCCTGCCTTTACGTCTTCGCCAAACAGAAGTGATGTTGGCTGACTCCCTTGTTATAACAAGCTCTGAATAAGTAGCCTCCGTTTCCACATAAGGTTTTTGTATGGAAGGCCTTTAAAAATATAATAATAAAGAGATGAAAAATTAAGGAAAATGTGGATAGATTCAATTACATAAAAATGTGTACCAGATTTGTTGAGAGATTGAGGACACGTGGCACTCATCCCTGCTCTTGTTGAGTGTATTGGTAAAAATTTTCTGAAGGGCAACTTTGTAAATTGTTTAAAAACAAAAATATTTGATATTTTGGCTTGGCAGTTCCACTTCTAATATTTACCTACGGAGAAAATAAAGTGCTAAAATATAATCTTATGTTTTAAAATGTTTTATGTTTTAAAAATTCCCATAACAATTGTTTATTATGCATTTATTCTTTGCTGGAACTGGGGCTACAGTAGTGATTCTATAGGCTTTGATTATAATGGGAAAAAATGGAACATCACAGTTGTCCATCTGTGTCCATCAGTACAGATTTAGTTACATAATCTTCTTAGTACATTTGTTTACCTTGGTTATCTTTGGATGTTTGGTTTAGAAAAGTAATTAATCCTTTTATGTTGGGTGCTCAATACTCAGCAAAAATAATTACTAACTATTAATAATCCCAAATTGCTATGGGTGGTGGGACACAAAGGATAACCACAGGATGTAGTTTTGCCCTCTAGAGAATGCTACCTATGTACCAGGCACTATGCTAGTTACCTTATCTTATCTGGTGTGGATTTCATTTATACCTGGTGGAGGAACCCATACTTCAAGGAAGCAGAATGATTGATAAACCTACAATCTTAACTAAGTGTAATACTGGAATAAGCATAGTAAGAGGAATGAAACAGAGAGAGCCCACTAACATCCTCAAGTATAAAAGTTTTTAGTACGTGATAAGGAAGCACTTCTGAATGAGTAGTAAAAAATGGATTATTATGGGGGCTGGCCCGGTGGCATAGTGATTAGGTTTGCACACTTCACTTTGGTGGCCGGGGGTTCGAGGGTTTGGAACCCGAGTGCGGACATACACACCGCTCATCAAGCCATGCTGTGGTGGCATCCCATATACAAAATAGAGGAAGATTGGCACAGAGGTTAGCTCAGGGACAATCTTCCTCAAGCAAAAAGAGGAAGGTTGGCAACAGACCTTGGCTCAGGACCAATCTTCCTCACCCCCCAAAAAAATAGGTTATTATGGAAATTATATTTGTATAATTAGTTAAATAGTTAAAGGAAAATGACGAGCATTATTTTATGACATATTCTCAAATTCTTTTCAAGGTAGGCAAGAAAAATGAAATAAAAGGCATCCAGATTGGAAGGAAAGAAGTAAAACTATCTCTATTTGCAGATGACATAATATTGTATATAGAAAATCCCATGGAATCCACTAAAGAAGTATGAGAACTAACGAGTTCAGCAAGGTGAAAGAATATAAGATCAATATACAAAAATCAATTGTATTTCTATATGCTAGCAATGAACAAATTGAAAAGTAAGAAAACATTTCTATTAAAAATAGCATCAAAAAGAATAAAACACATAAATAAATTTATTAAAAAGTCCAAGACTTGTACACTGAAAGCTAAAAAATAATGTTCAAAGAAATTAAAGAATACCTAAATAAATTGAAAGACACCTTATACTCATACATTGGAAGACTTACTATTGTTAAGATGGGCAATATTTCCCAAATTGATCTACATACTCAACACAAACTCTATCAAAATTTCAGCTGGCTTCTTTGCAGAAATTGACAAGCTGATCCCAAAATTCATATGGAAATGCAAGGAACTCAGAGTAGACAAAACAATCATGAAAAAGAAGGACAAAGTTGGAAGTCTCACACTTCCAGATTTCAAAAGTTACTCTAAAGGTACAAGAATCAAGACAGTGTGGTACTAGCTTAAGGACATACAGACCAATGGAATAGAATTGAGAGTCCAGAAATCAACCTACATATTTACAGTCAATTGATTTTCAGCCAGAGTGCCAAGAAAATTCAATGGTGAAAGAACAATCTTTTCATCAAATGATGCTGAGACAACTAAATATCCACACGCAAATTATGAATTTGGGCCGTCACATCACACCATATACAAAACTTAACTCGAAATCAATCAAAGTCCTAAATGTAAGAGCTAAAACTATTAAACTCTTAGAAGAAAATATAGGTGTAATTCTTCATGACCTTGGATTAGGCAATGGTTTCTTAGATATGACACCAAAAGCTCAAGCAGCAAAAGAAATATAGAAAAATGGGACTTTATCAAAATATAAAACTTTTGTGATTTAAAGAACACCATTAAGAAAGTAAAAAGACAATCCACAGAATAGGAGAAAATTTTTGAAAGCAATATATCCGATAAGGGACATATCTAGAATATATCAAGAATGCTTACAACTCAATAAAAAGGCAAAGAACCCAATTTAAAAATGGGAAAAGGAGCTGAATAGATATTTCTGCAAAGAAAATATACAAATAGCCAATAAGCATGATGGTCAACATCATTAGCCATCAGGGAAATGCAAATCAAAACTGCAATGAGATAAAAAAAAGACAGAATCGTCCCATTTGCCACAACACGGATGGAACTTGAGGGTATTATGTTAAGGAAGATAAGCCAGAGAGAGCAAGACAAACACCGTATGATTTCACTCATATGTGGAAGATAAACAAATACATGGACAAAGAGAACAGATTAGTGGTTACCAGAGGGGAAGGGGGCCGGGAGGGTTGACATAAGGGGTAAAGGGGCACACATATATGGTGACTGACAAATAACAATGTACAACTGAAATTTCACAATGTTATAAACTATTATGACCTCAGTAAAATTAAAAAAAAAACTGCAATGAGATACCACTTCATACCCACTAGAATGGATATAATCAAACAGACAGATAATAACAGGTATTGGCAAATATGTAGAGAAATTGGTGATGGGAATGTCAAATGGTGCAGCTACTGTGGAAAACAGCCTGTCTGTCAGTTTCTCAAAATGTTAAACATTGAGTTACCATATGACTTGACAATTCCACTTCTAGGTAAATGCCTAAGAGAAATAAAAAACTATGTCCACACAAGACTTTTATGCAAATGTTCTTGGAAGCATTATTCATAATAATTAAAAAGTGGAACTATCCCAAATGCCCATCACCTGATGAATGGATAAATAAAATGTGGTGTATCCATATAATAGAATATTATTTGGCAATAAAAATGGAACGAAGTGCTGATACATGCTAAAACATGGATGAACCTTGAAAACATTGTGCTCAGTGAAAAAAGTCATTCATAAAAGACCACATATGGTATGATTCCGTTAATATGAAATGTCTAAAGTAGGCACATCCATAGAGACAGGAAGTAGATTAGAAGCGACCTAGAACTTGAGGGGAAGATGGGGTGAAATGGAGAGTGACTGCTAATGGGTACAAGCTTCTTTTCAGGGTGGTAAAAATGTTCTAAGATTGATTGTGGTGATGGTGGCACAACTCTGTGAATAACTAAAAACCATTGAAATATGCACTCTAAATGTATGAATTTTATGGTATAGGAATTATGTAAAGCTGTTATTTAGAAAATCTCATAATTTTAATATTTCAAATTATTTTATTATATAGATTTTCTATACAACAGGTTAAATTAAGATCATATAATTTTTTCTCTATTAAGGATACTTTTGTATTTATATCTTGGTGTACTTGTCTGGTCATTTTCTCTGGATTTATTCTAAGAAATTGAATTGACAGGCCAAAAGTTATGAAAATTTTAAGGTTTCTTCATACACGTAGCTAACTATGTTGTTAATTATAAGAATTTCAGAAAAACACAAACATGTATAATGTAGAAAGCAGATCTGTATGCTGTATATTATTACATTTTTTCTGTTTATGTCATATACACAATTTACATATTTAAAGAAATTATACAATATATACTATTCTGCTACTTGATTCCACTTAAAAGTAAATCTTCAGCACATTCCAATGTCAGTATAGACAGAACTACCTTATACATTTTAATGGTTGCATATTATTTTACTCTTTAGATTTACAATTTATTTAATCAAACCACCATTGACCAACATTAGAAATGTTCCATACTTGTTTTTTTGGGGTGAGGTAGGTTGGCACTGAGCCAACATCCATTGCCAATCCTCCTCTTATTTGCTCGAGGAAGATTG